TGAACGCCATCAATTAGGATAGTGTGACACAAGGGATGCATCGCTTTCCAGGTCAAAGGGCGACAGTGGGATGAGAAAGGTTTCGTCACTTGACGTCAACATGCCACAAGCGAAATCAGTCAAGGGTATAATAGTAGGAAGGCAAAGATGCCGCTCTTGCAGGAAAAATCGGAAAGGCGAAATAGTGTAAACACATTCAGGATGCAGATCACCTATTAAACGGAGCAGTTGGTTCCTGGAAAAAAAAAAATAACAAGGTTTCTCATTTTGTATCAATTGGTTATATAACTTTCCAGGAGGGGCAACATATTATTTCTTGTAGTAGGTAGTTACATTCTACTGGACTTGTTCTGAAGAAGCTACTTGGAGTAGTGAAACGTCTCCAACATGATAGAACAGGTCCCGTTGGATTGAATAACTACTACTAGTTGTACCATGACCGGGATAACTGAGAACCTTCACACATTTACATATTATATAATATACAGTGGTACCTCGGTTCACAAACTTCATTCGTTCCGCAATTCTGGTCTCGAACCGATTTGGTCGTGAACCGAATCAAACTGTGATCAGATCGCGATCTCGACTAGAGGAAGCCACGACTACGCGTCAGAGCGGGGAAGTTGGCTGCGATTGTGTTCGTCACCCGAAGCGGAGTTCGCGAATGGAGGCAAAACTTCCTGTTCGCGAACCGAATTGTAACCGAGGTATCACTGTAAGTGCAAAATAAATAAGACAGACATTGTGTCTGACAATGGTCAGGGTTTGTCTCAAGACTTCAGAAGTTTCTACCCCAAATCTCATTGCTCTTTTGAGATGCAACTTGTCTATTTGTCCTGGTGGACACTGAGAGTGAGGAAGAAAATTTTGAGTTGGCACTTGTTGACTTGGTGACAAATGTCTAAGTGGGGATTTCCCCTCACTTTGGACAGATCTCCTCTTACTCCATGTTGTATTTCCAGGACAGGAAGTTGAGGAGTTAAGTTTGGGCTACATTAGCGTTACTTATTCTCCATAGACGTAAAAACACATCCAAAACGAATATGTTGCTTTTACACTCCGGAGAAGGATACCCCTACCACCCCGCCTTCCTAACTCATTCCCAACTCTCCTTTTTTTCCTTCCTTACCAATTACTCCTGATCTACCGCCACCCCCCACCCCCTTTCTTTTCCCTTTGTATTTTTCCCCAAAGTCTATTGGATACTTTTGGAACCACCAGAGGACCTCAACCTTCTCACCAAGAATGTACACCTTTACATACCAAAGTGTGAAAGTGTGAGTGCTACCTGCACCAAATCCCGGTACTGCAACCCAATATATTTTACTGTACCATCTGTACTGCTTTAACTTTATGATACTAATGTGGTATTGAGGTTCTTAAGAGCCTTAATATACAAAGGATGATATATACTGTATATATATTGCATAAAACAATAACAAATATAAACTGGAGTAGGACAAATAAAAAGTGCAAGGATGTAGATAAATTGATAATGATAACAATTGATAATGATCATGAAACATTTATGAACTGACAATGGGAATCCAGAATCTTCCAAATTCTTCAAAGGAATCCAGAATCCTCAAACAAACATGTATTCGCTAACGGATACTTTCATAAGGTAATGTTATATTGAACGAATGCTGCTCAGCTGTATTTGTCTATCGCTAAGTGCAGTGTATACACATTGCCTATAATTATAAACTGTACATAGATACTGTTTACAAAGTGTCTGTCTTGGACAAAATAGTCTTTAGAGCAACTACGCAGCCAATCCCATTAAACAATGTCTGGTTATTTTCAGCACATTACGCCACCTGAGGGGGGTCACACAATGCTCTGTCCCATAAACGCCGACATCTACGAGTGACAGAGAGTAATATTTCTCAGCAGAATGGCTCTTGCGCATTGTGTGTGCGTTTCCGGGCGTACAGGAGACAATATAAAAATATACAAGTGACCTCAGGGCCTTGCGGTGAGGCCCAGGCCTCAGGCTTCCTTCCTATAGGAAGGGCGTGATGTGTCAGCGAGGCCTGACAGCCGCTTGTCCTGCACAGCGAGGTCTGCTCTTCCACAGGCTGCTGTGAGTCCCAGGACCATACTATCCTACTTTCCTGTGTTTTCTTTTTCCCCTTTTGTTCCTGACGGTTCCCACAGAAACCTATGGAGAAGGGTGAGGCTGCAGTGTAGGTTGCAACATTGGTGAGCAAACAATGGACAATACTTTTTTTTCTCTTTGGCTTTTTATTGTATTTACAACCCCTGCAATTGGTTTTGATTTTATGGCCACATCAAGTGCTTGAGAAAGTTTGGCTAAGGGAAATGGACAATGCAGATTGCAAATGTTCTTCATGGGTTCCTCACACACCAAAATGGAGACCAGAAGCCATGCACTGAGCTCATAAAGCACAAGCTTTTGGCATAGCTCTTAATTTGTGCCGTGGCTCTATCAAAAAATGGGATTTGTAGCATTCAGGCCTTTCTACATGTAGCATGAGATCTGGAAACCAGATGAATGAAGCCTGGAGATGAGGCACGTGGAGAGTCAATGGGCTTATGTGTTCAGCGCTAATCTGATTGGTTGACATGGTTCAGTACTGAGGCCCAGTCCAGGCAAAACTTTTAATTCTGTTTTAGGTACCTGCCAGGTCTTCATTGCTCCATGTTGCACAGGCTGCTAGTGGTAGAATCTCACTATATACAACTCTTATTACAATCCAGGCCTGTCCAGCCGCATTTGAGGTTGCATAATACTCAAGCCCTAATGACGGGGGCGTATCTGAACCTCCAAAATTCACTGACCTTCTTATTCTATTGAATATCTAATTCAATACCATTTTGGACTCTTTAACCATCGGTGATGCACCCATGCTATGGTGTACATAGTAGGTCTTTATTGTCTTCAGTACCCCTGTTGAGATTGCCCTTCATTTCCTGTCAGAACAGGAAGTGGTGGGGAACCTCTGCAATGAGGGATATAAGGGATACAAAATTAAATTTCAAGTAGCGAAGGGAAAGGTTAGAACTTTTGGAAGTGTTTTTTGCCTTTCTGTCCTGAAAAGAACGATAATCCCTTCTTGCTTTTTGAAATGCTTTACTGGCCTAGTTCATGAGTGCCGGGAATCCCAAGTGACCTTCACAAATCCCTAAGCACCCATGAGGGGGGAGATTTCTAGCCCTATAAACGCATTGGCTCCATTTGATCTTACATTATTTGCATCTGGACAGGAGATTGGAGCTTCACCCTCAGATCCTCCCAGGTGCATTGCAAGCTAAGGAAACTGTGTAAATCATTTGGCATGTAGAAGCCTGAAATCTTGAATAACCAAATCTGCAACACTATTGTATAGAAATACCAATAGGACAATCCGAATGTTCCATTGCCACTTATCCATTCCTTCACTTCCAGGTGACTGGTCCACTCTAGTCATTGCTCTGATTCGATATAAAATAGGTCACTGTGAAAGCTGCAGCTGAGCCCTCATGAAGACTGCCGAGCTTACAGTAGTTTTTCTGGCCTGGAGATTTACAAGACGCTATCAAGTTTGGTGACGGCTCCCCTGACTTCCGCCTGGCCGTCAAATGCTAAACAGACTCCGAGCCAGTAAATGTAATTTTAGCTAAATTAGGAGCTCTGGCTGTGTAGGCGTCAGCGTGTAAGAGGAGACTTGACGCCCTCATAGAAATAACATACTGGGGAAAAAAAGAACGTCAGACTTCACGGAAAGTACCCATTTTCAAGAGGGATTTGTTCTATCTATCTATCTATCTATCTATCTATCTATCTATTATTATTATTATTATTATACAGGATTTATATAGTGCCAACAGTTTGTGCAGCGCTTTACAATATAAGGAAGACATTACAATCACAATACAATTCAAGACAAGATGGTAAAGAGGGCCCTGCCCCTGAGAGCTTACAATCTATCTGTCTATCTATCTATCTATCTATCTATCTATCTATCTATCTATCTATCTATCTGTCTGTCTGTCTGTCTGTCTGTCTGTCTGTCTGTCTGTCTGTCTATCTATCTTCTGACTCCTATTAAAATCCAACCCGCACCACCTTTCCTCTACAGGTCCGTTGCTAAATTTAGCCACAATGGTAGAATATAGGAAACCTTATAATATATTATGAAAGAAAGAAAGAAAGCGAGAAAGAAAGAAAGAATGTCCTTGAGCTGGAGAGAGTCCAGAGAAGGGCAACTAAACTAATTAAGGGGCTGGAGGACCTAAGCTATGAGACAAGGTTACTAAATTTAAACATGTTCACGCTGGAAGTAAGGCGATTAAGAGGAGACATGATTTTGATGTACAAGATGTTCAGTGGTGATGGCAACATCAGCAATAAACTGTTTACTGTTTACTCCATAACAAGGACTAGAGGCCACCACCTAAACTGGTGGAGAAAAGACTTAACCACAAAGGGCGTAGGGGCTTTTTTTTCTGTTAGAGCGGTTAAAATCTGCCACAAGCAGTGGTATCAGCGGAGAGTATTGAATCATTCAAAAAGCATTTAGATACCTTCCTCAGAGACCGCAACATACAGGGGTACAGGTACTCTTAAAAACTAGACCACACAGGAGATCTTGTACACACACATGCACACACCGACACACAATAGGTTGAACTTGATGGACCTGTGTCTCTATTCAACCTCAAATACTATGTAACTATGAATAGACATAAGCAAAAAAGTTCACTTGCTGGAATTTTTGCGTAATGCATTGAAGTCAATAAGGAAGGCGAACGTATAGTGGTTTATGATGGTTTATAAGCGCACAATAGGTTTTAAATGGCTCCTGAGGCCAAATTCACACCTATGCAATGCATGTTGACTTTTTTGGTGTTTTTTTTTTAATTTCTGTTTTCACAGAGGGGAAAATGATTAAAGAGTAACATAAAAAAAGCAACAAATGTTATGTACTGCAGGATGAACAGTTGCCTTGTTGTAAATACATTGAATATAACCAGGAAAATCTTCTCTCTTTCAGTTCTACCTGCAGTCGCGGTTTACGTGGAGAGGAGCCCGCCTCCTGCGTCCACTCCTGCAGTTCACGCTGCTGATGATGGCGTTCTACACGGGGCTGTCCCGGGTCTCGGACCACAAGCACCATCCCTCGGACGTGCTGGCAGGATTCGTACAGGGAGCGCTGGTGGCGTATTGCATAGTAAGTACCCTGCACGGCAGAGGCTACAGACAGGAAATTAAACATTCCCATAAATATGAGAGCTTGGAAGAATTCTGCCCGGCACTGTATCTAATAAGGGGATCAGTGAGCTGTGACCCGGAGGTCTGAGACATAACCAGCTCTTTCTATTAATTCCTCGTCTTATAAAGTGTGATTGTGCTGAGGGCCTGAGCTGGCTTTCATCAGGAATTTCACTGGTCAGCAGGACTCTCATGAAAGAGGGTTTGTTTTAGTGCAATGGGGACTGAATAAGTTGGTTGTGGCCTTTGTTTTATGCAGAGGTGAGTGGCAGGGAGGTACGTCATGCTCTGAAGCTGCTGGAGGACTCTTCTCCTTCCTTAGCTAACCCTCCTCTCCTGAAATACTCTGCTCAGCTGGAGGACTCTTCTCCTTCTTGTACTCTTCTCTCCTGAAATACTCTGCTCTGGTGAGGGACCCTTCTCCTTCCTCATTTAACTCTTCTATTCTAAAATGCTCTGCTCTGGTGCAGGACTTTTCTCCTTCCTCATCTAACCCTCCTCTCCTGATATACTCTGCTCAGCTGGAGGACTCTTCTCCTTCCTTATCTAACCCTCCTCTCCTGATATACTCTGCTCAGCTGGAGGACTCTTCTCCTTCCTCATCTAACTCTCCTATTCTCAAATGCTCTGCTCTGCTGGAGGACTGTTCTCCTTCCTCATCTAACCCTTACCTCCTGAAATACTCTGCTCAGCTGGAGGACTCTTCTCCTTCCTTATCTAACTCCCTGCTGCTGAAGCTAATGGAGGACTCCTTCCACTATCAAACTGTCCTCTTCTGAAGTACTCTGTTCTGCTGGAGGACTCTTCTCGTTGCTTATCTAACTTTCTCTGCTTCTGAAGTTTCTGGAGGACTCTGTTCCTTCCTCTATCTAAATCTCCTCTCCCGAAATACTCTGTATTCCTGGAGGACTCCTCTATCTAACCATCATCTTGTGAACCACTATATGTTGCTGGGGGACTCTGCTCCATCTTCTATCTAACTCTCCTCTTCTAATATAATCTGCATTACTAGAGGACTCTGCTCCTTCTTCTATATAACCCTCCTATCATAATGTACTCTGCACTGCTGGTAGACTATTCTCCTTTCTCACCTAACTTTCCTCTATGCTCCTCCTGAAGCTCCTAAAGCTTATGGAGTACTCTGTTCCTTCCACTAACTCTCCTCTTCTGAAATACTCTGCTCTACTAGAGGACTCTTGTCCTTTCTTATCTTACTTTCTCTGCTCCCCAAGCTTCTGGAGGACTCCTCTCCTGAAATACTCTGTATTCCTGGAGGACTCCTCTATCTAACCCTCATCTCTGCTCCATCTTCTATCTAACTCGCCTCTTCTAATATAATCTGCATTGCTGGAGGACTCTGCTCCTTCTTCTATCTAACTCTCCTATCATAATGTACTCTGCTCTGCTGGAGCAATTTGCTCCTTCCTCTATCTAATTCTCCCCTCCTGAAATATTCTGCACTGCTGGCGGATCTTCTCCTTCCTCATCTAACTTTCCTCTACGCTCCTCCTACAGCTTATAAAGGACTCTGTTCCTTTCACTAACTCTTCTCTTCTGAAATACTCTGCTCTACTAGACCACTCTTGTCCTTTCTTATCTTACTTGCTCCCGAAGCTTATGAAGGACTCTGTTCCTTCCACTAACTCTCCTCTCCTCTGCTCTGCTGGAGGACTCTGAGCCAACCAAGTTGGTAGACATGTCCCTGATGATAAGTGTTACCAATGAATGGAAAGGCTGTAGACTAGGAAACATATGCTTACTAGTTATATTGTCTCTCTTGCATATAAATTGGCATCATGTTCACCCCCCCGCCCCATGCTCTCTTGTTCCCACCGCCATGATGTCACATGACCTGGCATGGCTTTATCATTTTCACCACTGCATATGGCCAGCCAGATGGTTCAGCCATGACTGCACGGGTCGGGTTACCTTGCCTCCTTGACTTTTGACATGATGCAATAATCAGCTGTCTGCTCTGATGAGTGTATGTAGGAGGCGAGCCATCCAGTGTAACAATTTCCCGGCGCAGCTGCTTTGCCACCCTGGGAATCTCCGCCAGCTTGTTTTCATTGGAAAAACCTCTTGATTCGAGATTTGTGCAAATCAGTTTACCGTGATTGCAGCTTAGAGCCACTTTCCTTGTTCTCATGCAATTTGCACGGCTTGCCGCCGTGGACCAGACGGCCGTCTCGGGGAAACCCAACCCAGACATGTGTTCCCTCTTAATTCGGGAGCCTCGTGGAAAAACCAAACGGCTAATCAAACTGTGCCTACAGTATTATCTGAGACTGCGGTCAGAAGTCAACAAAAGAATAACACTGAAAAGAATGCAGAAGATTACACGGTTCTTGTCTGAGATATTTTCTTGTTTGTGGAATTCTTGCAGAATGTTTAGTGTCAAGGTTAAAGAGGACCTGTCAGTAACTGTACAGGTCTCAATGGATAAAGACATGACTACAATATACAGCTACATCATGAAAAAGCTGCCCTTGAGCACCAGTGACTCTGTCTAGGCTTATATGATGTCATCAGTCTGCTGCAGGCAGGAGGAAGCATTTCCCCAGTCTCTCTTCCCCCAGTGATCAGTCTGCTGCAGGCAGGAGGAAGTATTTCCTCACTCTCCCCTCCCCCAGTGATCAGACTGCTGCAGGCAGGAGGAAGCATTTCCTCAGTCTCTCCTCCCCCAGTGATCAGACTGCTGCAGGAAGGAGGAAGCATTTCCTCAGTCTCCCCTCCCCCGGTGATCAGACTGCTGCAGGAAGGAGGAAGCATTTCCTCAGTCTCCCCTCCCCCAGTGATCAGACGGCAACATTGTAACTTTGTAGCAAGTCACAAGGTGAGAGGCTCCAGCAAGGGCTCATCTGTGTCAGACATTTGTGAACATCAGCCAAGAACTGCACAGACACCATGATTGTGTCATTTCTGAGCCAGAATATCAGTCCAGGAAGTACGTGGTGACCCTGGGTGATGCCTGAACAAAGATGGCACCATCTGTCTGGAGAGACAAGCAGCATACAGCATTACCAGGGGAGTACTGTGATCTCTGTGACACGCAGTGCTTTGTCACCCATCTTACAGAGTGCAGCACGGCAGGGGAGGGGATTTTATCGCCTAAATTTGCGTTTCGCAATATCACAAGTGCAGTGCAGATGGCCCCACAAAGGTTTCAGCAAAGACGGTTAATAAACGTTCTCAGTTTTTACGTAAGCCGCATTCGTGCTGTGAAAGCCTCGGGGATGAGGAACGGGATAAAAGTATTTTTCCAGGCGGCCTGTGCCTGGTTGATATAGGAAACAGCTGGACTGTCAAAGCTCTGAACTTCTATTGTGTTCTGTTTCCAAACCACGCAACGGCCTTGCCGGGAGTTTATATTACAAAGGCCGCGCTGCCTTCACTGCATGCGAAAAATATCAGCCGGGTCTCAGGCAGTTACTATTGTTAGAGGGCTCAGCAGGGCCGGCCTTAGGCCTTTAGGCGCCCTGTGCGGCCGCACTGCTCGCACACCCCTAAGGCCGGCCCTGGGGCTCAGCTATGGGAAAGGTAAAGAGGGTGGGCGTGCTGGTGCAACACCTAAAAGTGCGCTGGGGTGCTTCAGGGCCATTCATTCTTAATGCAGCCTCTTTGCACTACCATGCATTGTGATGCACTACCTTTTAGTTCATTGTCACACGTCGGCTCGAACTATGAGGCTGAGTGATTTTCACTCACCTCATAGTTCTCCTTTAAGTGGACATTCCAATGGTTGTGCTGCGTTAACACAATGCATGGTAATGGGCAAAGTAATGCGCAGCAACTCGTTTTGTGTTAACCCAGCCTTGGGGCTCGTTCACACCAGCTGCAATGGAGTATGTTGGGTTGCTCAATGCAATCGCAACACAAGAACAAGGCAATGCACCTTATGTCCCGTGGCTTCAGATCACAACGTAAAAATAGGACATCTGGTGGAAATATTCCCACTCTGGTTCTCTCCCCTGGAAGCACCAGGGCTGCCGGCACTGAGTCGCAGAGTAAAAAATAGGACATGTTGCACTTTTGAGCAGCTCGTTCCAACAAGCTGTAACGCATTGCAACACATAGAGTGAAATTAAAGTTAGGAAGTAATAGACAGTCCAATCAATTGTAGGTGAAAGATGGGTTCCAGCTGTTGTAGCCATGATCTTGGCATAAACCACTTTTGACTAAGACATACATACACTGTATTTCCAAAAGTATTGGGATGCCCCTCCAAATCATTGGATTCAGTTGTTCCGTGACATTTCCTTGCTACTAAATATTCCGCGGTCACCTGTTACTGGTATTATAGCAAAGTGGAAGCAACTGGGAACAACAGCAACTCAGCCACGAAGTGGTCGGCCACGTCACATGACAGAGCGGGGTCAGCGCATGCTGAAGCGCGCAGTGCGCAGAAGTCGCCAACTGTCTGCAGAGTCAATAGCTACAGACCTCCAAACTCCATGCGGCCTTCAGATTGGCACAACAACAGTGCGTAGAGAGCTTCATGGAATGGGTTTACATGGCCGAGCAGCTGCATCCAAGCCGCACATCACCAAGTGCAATGCAAAGCGTGGGATGCCGTGGTGTAAAGCACGCCGCCACTGGACTCTAGAGAAGTGGAGACGTGTTCTCTGGAGGGACCAATCACACTTCTGTCTGGCAATCTGATGGGCGTGTCTGGGTTTGGCGGTTGCCAGGGGAACGGTACTTGCCTGACTGCATTGTGCCAAGTGTAAAGTTTGGTGGAGGGGGGATTATGGGGGGGGGTTGTCTTTCGGGGGTTGGGCTTGGCCCCTTAGTCCCAGTGAAGGGAACTCTTAAGGCATCAGCACCCCAAGACATTTTGGAAAATGTCATGCTCCCAACTTTGTGGGAGGAGTTTGGGGATGGTCCCTTCCCGTTCCAACATGACTGGGCACCAGTGCACAAAGCAAGGTCCATAAAGACATGGATGGGGGAGTTTGG